TAATATATATGTATATATATACTCATTAAAATAGTTATACTCTTAAATATTCAATGGTCCAAAAAGACGATGTATATATATATATATATATGTGTGTGTGTGTGTGTGTGTGTATGTGTATGTTAACAATCCGATCGGTTGTTTTACTTTCTAGAACCCCATTTTCCTATTTAAGATTTTTCGTATGTGCTTTACCTGTTTTATTGACTTGCGAGACAGTTGGTTTGGTTTTGGAAGGGTTCCCGTTGAATTTGGAACACTTAGTTCCATACTAGTGGCTTAAGGTGGCCAAGATTGACTTAAATCAACACTTTGAGTAAACAACCTCAAAATGGGGATTTAAAGGTTTCGATAGATTCATACGGGGATTTTGGACGTGGACATGTATTCGGATCGAGTTTTGGGTTATTCAGGAGCGATTCGGTGCTTATTGTTGTAAATTGGCATTTTCAGGGTTTTATAGTTCGTTAAGTTTGACTTGAAGTAGACTTTGGTGATATCGAATCCTATTTGGAATTTCGAGCCTGGGAATATGTTTGTGTTTTCATATTGAACTTGTATGTGAAATTCGGTTCCATTCTGTTGTCTAAGTATGATTCATCGCCTTCGAAGTTAGTTGATGGAAGATATATGTTTGGAAGATTGATTAATTTGGTTTGGGCGTGATTCGTGGTTGTGGTGTTATTTTATGTTTTTTGAGGCCTCGATTATATCAAAATTATATTTTTGGACTTGTTGATATGATTGGACGGGGTTGCAGGTGACTTTGGTGAGTTTCAGACCACTCGGAACATGTTCAAAGTTAGCGGTTTTTGTTGGTGTGATGCGTGATCACCAAGATTGGATTTCGGAGGGCAGTTGTTGTTCTTAGTGAACACAAAAAAGTCCCCGTGAACACAGGACATGGCTCCTCTTCGTGAACGTGGAGTAGTTTATGCGAACGCGAAGAAAGAAGAGGAAGCGAAGGGCTGACAGGATTTGGCATTTGCAAACGCAGGGGGTGGGTCCGCAAATGTGAAGTGTTGGTAGTAGTGTGCTTTGCAAATGTGACTGGGTAATTACGAACAAGAAGAAAAAGCCTGGCAGGGGGCAGCGTTGGCCTTCGCAATCACGAGGCTTCTTCCTCAATCGCGATGAAGGATGTCTGGCCAGAATATAAGATTTAACTTCGGGAATTAGCTCAGTTCATCGTATTTCTCTTGGCTTGGGCGATTTGGGAGCTTTTTGAAGGGTCATTTTCATCAAGTATCACTAGGTTGGTGATTTTTACTTATTTTGAGCAAAATATATAGATTATGTGTTGGTTTTAATATGGAAATTAGTAGAAATTATGGGATTATGGTTGAAAACTTAGAATTGGTAACTATGGAACTTGACCATAAATTTGGCATAAAATTAAAAATAAATTATATATTTGATCTTATCTTTAAAAATTTCCGGAATCCGAGCGCGTGGGACTAGGGTTGACTTTTGTTGACTTTTTGTGTAGGGCTAAGAATTGATTCTAATAGTTAAATTATGAGTTCTTGAGTATATTTTGATCAGTTTGCATGCCCCTTTGGCTTGTTTTGAGCTGCTCGACGTCGATTTGAGGTGTTAGCAAAGTGTGGGAGCCGAGTAGTGGACTTGAAAGAAAGGTAAGTCTCTTGCCTAGTCCTGTAAGAAGGAATTATCCTCGTAGGTATTCTTTTTGTTATGTGCTACGTGTTATGGGTGCTATATACGTATGACGTGACGTGTATCCGTGCGTAAGCTAAATTCTTGGTTATATCCAGGTAGACTTAGACTTACATCATGCCTTAGCTGTACTACAGGAATTAATCTTGCCTATTTGATTACTTGAGTTCATAAATGAGCTTGAGACTAGAATTTACGTATTTGACCGAGCCTCTTTACTTTAAGTTCAGGAGGGATACTTCATTGTCAGTAAAATCGTGATTTATTTTATATTTATATCCTCGTGTTGTGCTTATGTGATCAGTAGTTCCATGATTTCTTGACTTGCACGTACCTTCACGAGTGGGGCTAGCGACACCAAGAAAGTTTCCTTATTCCTATGAGATCTTATTGTTCGCCTCGGTAGTTTTATGAAATATTATTATGGGAGCGGGTCGTTCGCCTTGACAGTATTATGAGACACATATATGAAGTAGGACATACGACCTCGGTGGTATCATGAAACACCATTCTTACGGGATTGGGTCGTTCGCCTCGACAGAATCATGTATAATATTCGATAGGGAGTCAGAGCATATATGATTTTTTCCTGACTTGAGATTTGACATTTCACTTGATATTGTTAATCTTTGTTTCTTCTTTTTGTAGTTTTAT